CTGCCCGTGTGACTCCTAAAAATTCTCTATATAAGGCCAATTCCGAGGGAAGGAAACCATAACTCGGTTTTTGAACCAAATAGAGGGTTAGAGAGAGAGAGAGAGTGTGGTGAACACCCTCCTAGAGTGGTTTTGGAGTCGGGAGTCGTCAATCGAGCCCGGATACCATCCTCGGAGTAAGGAGCATCGTCCAAACGACGAGCCGTCTTCGATATCGGTGCAGAGTTAATTACGGCATAAATAAGGTGTGTGGACCCTGCGGTGAATAGGCGGTGTTTTACTACGTGCTATATGTTTAATATTGAAATATAGCTGAGGAGTTAACGAAGATAAAATAGATAATGCTGTTATTATGAATTGAATACTCGAGTGGAATTGGATGATTCATAATCGAGTATTTGGAATTTACGGTTCGTAATTAATTCCTACGAGTCGTGAAATTCCTTGAGACGTCGTTGTACTGATTGCAATAATTCATGACGTGATATCAGGCCATGAGTTATGTGAGAATTTGAATAATGGACAAGCTACCATGGGGGAATTCTGTCTAAGGCTAGTGGTTTTTAATCGAGACCTTCGTGGTACTCGTCCACTTACCTGGGAATTCACCCGGTAAATTCTTTGGGAATACGGTTGTAAGAAGTGCGCTACGAGTAGTGGCACTCATTCCTTTTCTCGGAGTTTTTACTACGGCGGGTCCGTCTTTCAAATTAAATGGTTATCGAACCATGTACGAGGTTTCAACCCGTCCACCTTATACGTGGATTGTGCGATAACGATATTGTTCGTGAATGATTTTATACTCGATATTTGAATGGATGAAGTGATGATTTTCGTATGCATGATATGTGGCATATACTTGGTAATTACACCAAGATCGATTGAGATGGATGATTATGATTTTGTGATTGATGATGAGAATGATGATTTTATACGATGATCATATTAATCACATAGACTTAGAAAGGGCCTATGACCTACCCCTATAAGGTTGTTTGGACTGCGGGACAAACTAGAACCTTTGAGACCGTTTGGACTGCGGGACAAACGAGAGGATTTATGATAATCCTTGAGATGATGAGATGTGGTTCATTATAACCACTGAGATGATGAGGCTCGAGCGGGGTGGGCGTATGGTGACCTTGGCGCCCAAATTAATAAAACGGGAATGCATTACACTTGCATATTGTTTGGATATTGGATGCTAGGTTGAGAAATATATTAGGTTGAGATTTCAACCTAGATGCCATGATTAGGTGGTTAATCGATTGATGTGGAAAAATATATCCATAGACTTCGCCGTGTAGGAGGGAACAGCGCCACACACTCAGCTTAGTAGCTGACCCACTCCCTTTTTGTGTTCAGATCCGCATCAGAGGAACTGAGCTTGGACGTTGGAGCTGTGCAACTGCTACTCCATCATGAGGTAGCGAACGATTGGTCAAGAGGAGAATTTTAAATATGTTTTGGGTGTTTTAAACCAAGTGTTATAAACATGTATTATATTGCATTGAACTTAACCGTTTGAGTCATTATGAGTTATGGATTGTACTAAAGTTTGTAAGTTGGAGATTTGAATTAATGTTGGAATTTGAGGTCAAGAGTGGGATGTTGTATGTGTAATAAATAAGTTTGGATATTAATAAAGGTATTATATTTGATATATACATGATCACCTCGAGTTATGTTTAGCCGTATGTTGAGTTAATACGTAAACCCCGTTAGTATTTTCCGCTGCGCGGTTGAACCATTGGTTCGACCCATGATTTTTAGGGTGGGGTGTTACAAACATGTTGCTCGTTTTTGGTGGGGAGACGAGGAGGGGCAGTCCAAGATTCGGTGGATGTCGTGGCGGAACTTATGTCGTAGTAAACACGAAGGGGGGATGGGTTTTCGGAGGTTTGAGCTGTTCAATCAGGCTTTGTTGGCCAAGATTGGGTGGCGCATTTTGTCTGAGCCCCAGTCTCTGCTAGCCCAGGTTTATAAAGGGAAGTATTTTCCCTCTGGCTCGTTCCTCTCAGCTAAGGCTCGATCCCGCCCGTCTTGGGGCTGGCAGAGCATTCTGTTTGGGCGCCAGTTACTTTCGAAGGCTTTATGTTGGCAGATTGGTAATGGCCAGACGGCCCCGTTGCTGGAATCGAATTGGGTCCCCCTGCAGCCTAATTACCCCCTGGTGTTTAATCCTCGTGTTCTGCCAGCTGAGGGTGAGGTTAGAGTTGCAGAGGTGATTTGTGCGGGGGAAGGGCGCTGGAGTGATGATAAACTGGGTCAATGGTTTGATCCCCAGACTTGTAAAGTGATTAAGGCTATCCCCCTTCCGAGGCAATGTGTTGACGACCGTTTGATCTGGCAAGGCACAGCTGATGGTGTCTTTTCGGTGAAATCGGTGTATCACCTTGCGGTAGGGTTGGATCAGCAGAATGGTCGATGGCGGGCTCAGGTTAGCTGGATGGATAGGGAGAATTGGATCCGGCTTTGGAATTCCAGCATTCCCCCTAAGCTGAAGGTCTTTGTCTGGCAAATTTTTAATAGAATCCTCTGGACGACCGAAGCACTTATTGAGCGAGAGATTGAGGTACATCCTCGGTGCCCGGTTTGTTGGGATGAGAGGGAGACAATGGAGCACCTGTTCCTGAGCTGTCCAGTGGCTAGGGCACTTTGGAATCAGGCTGGGTTGGAGTATCTTGGGGAGGGTTTGCCTCAGTATACGTTCCCGTTTTTTCTGAAAAAGCTGTTCTCGATCCTGCATCAGCCCACTCATTTCATGATGGTCACTGCTATCCTCTGGAGGATCTGGAAGTCTCGTAACTGGGTGGTATTTGAAGGGAAACAGTTTGGGATTCCGGCCTTAATGAGGCAGTATAATCAACAGGTTAATGAGTGGCTCCGGTTGCCTCCGGATCCTCACTCCGCTCCAGGTGTTAGCCAGCAGCAAACTGTGGTGACAGGGGCTGAGGCTGTGGGGCCTGTGTGTCGGTGGGATGGGCCAGTGCGCAGGGGGTCGCATTCTGCGGGTGGGATAGTAGTTTCTGATGAGATGGGGGGCGTCCTTGGGGCGATTGGGCTGCAGTTTCCTTTCATTGAGGATCCTATGGTGGTGGAGCTTCTAACTCTCCGGGAGGCTATATGCTGTTGTCTGGAGCATGGCTTTTCGGCGATGCAGTTTGAAGGGGATGCCAAGGTGGTCATTGATAAGGTCTGCAAAGAGGATGTGAGGGACAGTCGTGTTGGGACTATTCTGGAGGAGATTGTGATGCTGCTGAGGGCGAATGCCTCGTTTAGTGTTCGATTTATAGGTCGGGATAGCAATAGGGTAGCTCATTTGGTAGCTAGGAAAACCCTGTCTTTGTCCCCGGCTATATGTCGGTGTTTTGATTTCCCGGCCTGGCTTAGATCCAGGATGTAACTACCTATTTTTCAATCAATATATGATTATCTTTTGTCAAAAAAATAAAATCGGTGGAGAACTGATTTGATAAATATGCTTTCAATATATGAAATCCACATCACGATTATAACAAATATTATGCAATCTCAAAATCAAAATAAAGAAACCAAAGCAAAAGGAAAGAAAATGTGCAGTCAAAAGAAAAAAAATAGAATTACCTGTCAAATCATTGTCAAGCAAATCTAATCCCCGGAGAACGCTGCAATTCCCAATGGTGACTGGAATCCTTCCAGAAAGACTAGCACGCCACAGGCTAAGCACCTCTAACCTTTCAAGGTTGCCTATCTCACGTGGTATTTCACCTGTAATGTGAAACATTTAAGTACTACTTTAGGTAAAAAATGAAAGTACTAGGCCCACTTCTTTAATACAGCCGAATTCTCAACAACTCTTTGGAATTGGTCCAGGGAATCAATTATGCCCAGAACAAATTATTTGGCTAAATTGCAAGTTCGGTCACTTGAATTACTAGTAAATTTCGCATTAGCCACTAGAATTATTTTATTCCATCCGTAGTCACTTAAATTAGGTTAACAGTCCAAGTTTGGTCACTGGCCATTAGTCTCCGTTAACTTTTGCTGATGTGGCGGTCAACTCTCATAGTTGACCGTTAAATAGGTGACGTGGCCATTAAAAAATAAATAAAAAATAAAATTTAATCTATTAAAAATTCTACCTCATTATCACATTAAATTTAAAATTAATAAAACAAATAAGTATTTCCTCCATTTTTGTCTCCGAATCCCGACCCTGTGCCACTGCTCTGCTGGTGCAACTCCGCCACGACGCTTCCATAACAAGACCGACGATTCCCGTGAGAATCAGCAATGGTGGGACAAAGGCATCATTGACCTGCCTTGGCCTTAAATCAATCGAAGTTGTTAAGATTCAAAGCATTAATCCCCTTCACACTTCCCTTTCATAAATTTAAACGGCAAGAACGTTTCTGAAAAAAACAAGTTACAGTCCGGATCTAAGAGTCCCGATTCCCAGTCCTACTCAAGAATCAAAAAGTAAAACAGTTATGCCCGAAAAATCATAATGCAAGGAAGCCGGAATGCCATCGTCGGTGTCCTAAAAGCGCAACCGAATCTTGAATTTGAAAAAAAAAAACAGAAGAGGAAAATTCCAAAACAGAGATGGGGAAGGTCGGAGTTTTAACCTCGAAAGCATGGCGAGCTTTAAATCCCATGAGCTGCAGAGTGCTCTGCACCATCCAACCCATAAACATCTTCCCCCATCCTCTTTGCCAACGTGCCTTTGCCCCTCACGAGAGTGAATTAGTTAAGAAACAGAGTGTTAAGGTAGTCAATTGGGAAGTTTTGGGAAAAAAGAACGAACAGAGGGAGTCGTTAATGCGGAAGCGGGTGCGTTGAGCTCATTTGTTGAGGGAATCGGATTCCGGTGATGGGATGGTCGAAGCGTCCGACTTGCCTCTCACTATTGTCTCTTTGCCTCCTGCTCGTTGACGTGGGAAGCCGTTTCCCTCTTGGAAGATCCAGTTTTTTAGGTATCCGACATTTCGGTACCCGTCAACGCGGAACTCGATTTCCTAGCCGCAGGTGGTGCAGAGGGTGATGAGGAGGAGGTCTGAGAGCTTGAGGACCCAGTAGAGAATTTTGTCGCTGGCGATTCCGTGGTCTTCGGCTAGATCGGCGCTCCGGTAGAGCTCTCTGCCTCTGAGCACCAACTTCTGCTTGCAACGGTGGCGATGGTTTAAAAGAAAATAGCTTTATTTTTTTAGTTTTTGAAAGGGATGGAATAATGAGGTGAAAATTTAAAGAATATTAAATTTTATAATTTATTTATTTTTTAATTATCACGTCACCTATTTAACGGTCAACTATGAGAGTTGACCGCCACATCAGCAAAAGTCAACAGAGACTAAAGGTCAGTGACCATACTTGGAATGTTAACCTAATTTAAGAGAATACGGATGGAATAAAGTAATTCTAGTGACTAATGTGAAATTTACTAATAATTCCCAGTGCACTCGGCCGAGATTTCTCGGCCGAGTGCACAGCGTGACCAAACTTGCAATTTAGCCCAAATTATTTTCATTGGGATAAATGCGCTCTCAATAAATCAAATTCAATTTCTCCAATATAAGAGAAAGAGAATATAATGCGATCAAAATAATAATATTGACTTACCTGTCAAATTATTGTTGTCAAGGTATAATTCCCGGAGAACGCTGCAATTCCCAATGGTGACTGGAATACTTCCAGAAAATCGGTTAAAAGATAATGATGCAATTTGAAGATTTGTACAATCTCCAATTTTCGCAGGAATTCCACCGTGTAATTGATTCTCAACCAAATATAATTCTTGAAGTTCCCGCGCATGATAACACAAATCATGTGGCAAGACCCCTAGCAACCTATTCTCTGAAAGAGCCACCATTCGAAGAGTAGAAATATTGAATATGACAGGTGGAATGACTCCAGAAAGACCAATATGCCACATATTTAGTGTTCGTAACCTTTTAAGGTTGCCTATCTCAACGGGTATATCCCCTGCAACACAAAACAACTTGATGTTATATTTATGTAATCGTAAGCTGTTTTCCCCACTTACCAACCAAATTGTGATGGTACTACCTGTTAAATTTGTGAACGCGAAAGATAGAGCCTTCAATGCAGTTAAATTCCCAATACTCTTCGGGATCGGTCCCGTAAACCAATTACCTCCAAACGATAAGTTTTGAAGATTGCCACAACGACCCAACAAAGATGGAATTCGACCTCCTAGATCATTGAGAGACACATTCAGCACCTCGATTTTCCGAAACTGATTGCAGATATCATCCGGAAGGCTTCCGGACAGACTATTACTCGCCAATATCAATCTCTCCAGAGAAGAAATGTTGAAAATTGCGGTTGGTATGCCACCTGAAAGCCGGTTTCCCTCCAAATCCAGCACCTTTAAACCCCTAAGATCCCCAAGCGACGGTGGGATGCTACCTCCAAACTGGTTATCAGAAAGGTTGATGATCTTCAACCTCCACAACTTAGACAGCTCCATGGGCAAATCCCCACGGAAGAGATTGCCGCTGAGATCGAGAGAAACCAAGAAGGAGAGATTACCAATGTGGGGAGGCAGAGTCCCCTGCATCCCCATGTTCGCCAGATTCAAGGATGTCACTCTCCTGTGGCGACGCCCGCATAAGACGCCGACCCAGCTGCTACAGACTTGGGCTGCGGCCGCGGCGGTCCAGTTGCGGGAGAGAGGATGATCGGAAGAAGAAGTGGCGGAGATGATGTGGGCTTTGAGTTGGAGGAGAGCTGCTGCATCACGTTGATGGTTATTGTAATAACTACCAGTAGCAGCAGCAGCAGCAGTGGAAGGGAAGAGAAGGCAGCTGTGTTGGATTGATAGCAATAGCATGATAATTAGTAACGGAATCACGGTAATTGCCATTCTAATTGTAGAATACTGCACGCTATAGCCAGTGGGTGAAGGTAGGACTCGAACCAGAGAGTCCCCTTATTTATATATGCAGTGGCTTTTGATGTGGAAAACAGAGCATAGTGGGATCTATGGTGCAATGGGCTACAGCCTACAGGTGACTGCTATTGTTTTTCAAGGACTCTAGTCGAGTTAGGGAATTTTTCTAATAATAGCACCTTTTAAAAAAATTATTAAACTAGCATCCAGTCGAAAAAATTTACACTAATAGCACCATTTTTAATAAACCGCACCTTGGAGGTGCGTTTTGCGCCACGCCAGACTGGGAACCGCACCTCCAAGGTGCGGTCTGTGTTTGGTGGGCAGCGGTCTTGGAGACCGCAGGATCAGGTGGTGATCTAGCGGGCAGAACGCACGCCACGTCAGCGATCCTTGCCACGGATCGAAGACCGCAGCGCCAGGGAGCGGTCAGCCCTCGGGGAGCGTAAACCGCGCCGGAAGGTGCGATTTTGACTGGGGCAAAATTACCAGACCGCCCTTGGAGGGTGCGGTCTGATGGGTATAAATACCCCTTCCCCCCCCCCCCCCCTCATTTTTTCACACCACAACCATTCTCCACTCTCTCTCTAGAATTAGCTCTCTAACCCCTCCCCTCCCAAAAGCCTAGGAAATAGTGGTATGTTGGTTGCGGCTAAGTCCGATCTGCCATCATAAAACATTTCTTTGGTTTTTCCCTCAAAACCCGCCCGCCAAATTTTTGTCAGACGCCAAATCTCTGTCCGACTTTCGCGAGAAAATGGACGAGTGGTTCCAAGAAGAGGGAGTTTATGATGATGAATTTCAAGCGGTACGTAATCATTATTTTGGTCAATTTTTGTTTTTGTTATAAGATTTTTAATTAATATATGTACTAACCTTGTTGTTATTCTCTCGTAGGTTGGAGACGACGTGAATATATACAACCAACGGTACTATTTGGATTAAGGGCCTATTGATCCGATCGACTTGTATGACCAACCCAACCATCGTTCAAAGGATGTTTGGAACGATCACCCGGTACATACAATTCTTCATCATTTATCTTTCTTTTATTTTGCTAATGTACTTAGTGGAATATAAAATAAATTTGAAATAATTTAATTGCATTGGTTGTTTTCAATAATTTAATCGAATACATAGCGACACTTACTTCGACTCTTTATAAAGAGATGCACGTCTAAGAAAATGGGATTTTAAGCGATTATCATGATCCTCCCATTTCCTGGGAAAATCGGCTATTAAGAGATCTTCGGATCCCCCCTTTTTCTGTCAAAAGGCTGCGTTTCTAAGAAAATGTATAACTCTTCTAAGAGTCTAACGAGTGTTGCATTGTATTCGATTAAATTATTTAAAACAATCAATACGATTAAATTACTTACCAAACAACCAATACGATTTATTTTTATGTGTACTTAAATGAATTTATTAATTTCAAATTTTTGAATATGTATGTATCTCCTTAAATTATTATTCATTTAGAATGTTATTTATGCCAATTAATTTAGTATGTTTGTTTTATGACTATATGTATATATCTTGGAAAAACCGCAAATTACTTAAATTTTGATTGTTAATAATATAATTATAATAGAACTATATTCTAAATTAAATTATTAATTTTAAATAATTTAGTTATAAGACTAAACTATTACTTATATATCATAAATAATTTTAATAATGGTTGAAATTAAATCATTAATTTTGATTTATTTAGTTATAAGACTAAACTATTACTTATATATCATAAATAATTTTATTTGGAAAGTTTGTTGGACCTCAAGAATTCGAGCATGGCAATTGGCATCTACCTCATCCTGAGTGGTTATGAGATATTCCTCGTGCCACAACGACCCGCCTTCTCTGTTTGGATATCGGTACACCATCCGATCAACTCTTCTCGTGTCATCCATGCAAATAACGTTAGTACACATTTGATAGAGGTCTTCAAGCATCGGTCTGGTAGCGACCTTTATTTTCTGAAAATTGCCACCGACGTAGGTGACCCCCTTTCCGCTCTCTTCCGTGTAACCATTCCACCGTAACCCAAGCGTGAACTTTTGGAATGTCATCTGCAAAAAAAAAAAAAAAACAATAGTTCAACTAATATCATAAAAATCACAATTCACAATAAAAAGTAATACAAAAAAAACTTACGAGTTAACGTTAACCGCAAAAACACTAGAGAAATATGGAGCTACACTAAAAAATTGAAAAGGGAGAAGAAGAGGTGTGAAGAGAAGAAGATTTCCCGACTGCCTTTTATAGGCAAAATCATCAATGAAAATCGCACCTTAGAGGTGCATTTTTCATCTGCCATGCAGCCCCACGTCTGTGAATCTGTATGGCTGCTTGTCTAGTGTCGGAAAAAATTGACACACAAACCGCACTTGGGGGGTGCGGTTTGTGTGGCTTTGGAGAAACAACCCGCCGCATCTCCAAGGTGTGGTTTTGCTAGGTCAGCCCAAAATCGCACCTCGGCCAAGCGATTTTTGTAGGTCAGACCTGAAACCGCTTGGCCAAGATGCGGTTTTGGCCCAGGATAATAAAACGCACCTTGGAGGTGCGGTCCATAAAAAATGGTGCTATTTTTGTAAGGGCTAATACCACTACAACACCCAAACTATCCGAAAAATGTCACTTGTGTCCTATTGTTTTCAATATTCCATTCATGTCCTGAACTATTAAATTCTGTGTCGTTTTTATCCTGCCAATTTCGTTGACCGTTAAAGATAACAGTTGACCAAATGGCGGTCAACTTAACTTTGACTTTTGCTGACGTGGCAATGCCAAGTCATTGACACCTCACATTTTTAATTTAAATATAAAACAAAAATAAAAAATTGAAAAAACTTTAAATTCAAGAATATTACTAAATAATATTCTAAAACCCCCCCAAAAAAATATCCATTAATTTCATTGATCGTCTCTCTTCTCTCTGCTAGGTGCTTTCCCTTCGACTCCTACTGCCGTTTTGTCAGATCCAGAGAAGAATGATATAGCAGTCGGGGCCGGATTTCGTCGATCGTCTCTCTCCACCCAAAGCTCTCACCAGCGTGTGTGCCGTCCAGGCGTCCACTGATCCGTGACGCGAATTCTAGATCTGAGATGTAGCTCTTCGACCTTGCGGCTGCCGTTGAGAGGAAGTCTGTCAGTTCGTAGTCGGAATCCGAACCGGGTCGCGCTCGTTGCTGCAACTGGGCAGGAGGATTGGCGGCGGACAAGTTGCGAGAAATAGAGCAACAAAGGGAAAAGATTTGGGATTGATTCATTATGGGTCTCAGTTGTACCCTCTTTTTAGACGAGCTAGATTGAACAAGGGAAAAAGGAACAAAAAATAGATTTGTGTAGAGCTAGGGGGATAGGAGAGAAGCAGATAGAAGATGGCACAAGAGGGAGAGATTAATTGGATGGTGAAGGATTTATTGACGGCGACGCAAGGTAGAGAGAGAGACGCAGATGGGAGATGTGGAGCGAGAGAGATTGCCTGAAGAAAGATGAAAAAATCGACAGCAGCTTGCGATGGTATTGTGTAGTGGCCGTCCATTGATCTCCGGCTACCGGCGGAATAAGAAACGACAGGCACCGAAACCAGACACGACAGGGACCTGGGAAAGAGGGGTGAATGATGGAGCTTTTATTTTTAATTTTAATAAATTTTTTTAGAAAAAGAAAATAAAAATTGGGTCTAAAATTCCACGTCAAATGCCACATCAACGCTGACTAGGATTTCTGTTAAATACTAACGGTCAATGTTGGTCAACACTAACGGAAAAATAGTTCAGGACACAGATGGAATATTGAAAACAATAGGACACAAGTGACATTTTTCGGATAGTTCGGGTGTTGTAGTGGTATTAGCCCTTTTTGTAAATATTTTCGGCTGAATGCTATTTTTGTAAAATCTTTTAAAAAAGGTGCTATTTCTGGAAAAATTCCTCGACTTGGAGCTAGTTATGACATTGATCCCAATAACTCGAGTTATTAGGAGAGATTCAATAATTGATAATAATATAATATCATTCATTTATGGGGAGTTCTACTGTACCCAGGGTGAAATCCGAGGTACCGCATACCTTGAGTAAGAAAACGCTATCCAGAACTTGAATTGACTAATCTTTCGGACATGATACTATACTCTAAATCTTAAAGATCAAAATCTAGGTCTTAATTCTCTAAATCTTATACCCCAAGATCAATTTAATTAGAAACAATAATCGACGGTTATGATTCGTCCAAATATAGACAAAAAAATTAATGCACCATCTTAGGGTTTATAGTTTATGATTTAGATAATTAGGATCTAGGGTTCACTCATTGAGGGTTAGGGTATAGTATCATGTCCAAAAATCCTGCTAATTCGAGGTCTATATAGCGTTTTCATACTCAAGGTAGAAGACACCTATCATTTACCAACATATCTCCAAACAAATGTCAAATCATACGAACTTGAAATTTATATATATCCAAACATGTACTTAACCAATAAAATTGTCAAGATTTTGAAGAAAATACACCAAGAGGTAGGTTAGCTTGAGTCCTCACATAGTGGAAGAAATTAAGCTAGGTAGGTTGAGTTGACCGGTGAGTGGAAGACCGGAGTCAAGAGTTATTAGTAGTGGAAGAAATGGATTGCAATTAATTGCCATATTAGTAGTGGAAGAAATTTAGCAGCAACTTCTTCCCGTTTGACACCACTAGGAAGGAATTTAGTGACGATAATGGAGACGAAAGTTGGTTCGTGTTTTTCATTTTTCTTGGTCTTCCCCACCCCTCTTCCTTCCATGATAGAGAAAAAGAGGAGGGTGGAAAAAACAATATGGCAAGGTTAGTGGACACAACAGCATATATGATAGTTTTTTTTCTTCTTCTTCTCACCAAGTAATGACAAGGGAAGAAGTTAGTCATTACAGATTTACAGTGAAGTACTGAAGTTGTTCGAT